GTAATGCTTATTACTAAATGATTTTTGAAACTCAGTTGCTGTTCCATTTAAAATCATTTAAGAAAGTATTGAGTACAATTCAGAAAATATTTGTTAGGAGTAGTAAAAAAATTATATTTCTCCCTTTCGTTGGGGGAGAAGTATGTTAATAGAGTAGGACTTTTTCTATTCCAGTTTTTTTTTTTTACAAGAAACTTTCTACAAAATGGGGGTCTTAAAATAATGCCCCTTTGTGAATTAATTGTGTTGCTCTGACTACTTTGCTGAAACATAACTGACCAAAAAAAGAAAGTTGTTTTTGAAATATGAAGGCAGTTTGTCTGGAAAACTTAAAATTTATGCTAATGCATTCCTTTTTTCCCATAATTTAATCATAACTAGGGAAATGTGTTAATAAGATATTTAAAGGAAAAGTTTAAGAGAGTTTTACAGCTGTGTAAAAATTCTCAAATTGGAACAATTGTGTTTAAGCCAGAGCATTTTGCTTCCTGATAAGGAAATTAAATGAGAACGGAATTTTGCTTTTTGGAAACAAAAACAAAATACCCCCCCAAATCTGAAGTGCCTCTGCTATAAGACCAGCGCACCCAGGCGAGTACTCTTTCATTTGACTCCGTTTATTGTAAGAATTTCAAGAAGTTATTTGCCAGCAGTGCCAGTGGTTTGCTGAAACGCAGTGGGTGGGAGGAATCGGGAACACTTTGCCCGACGTGTGGGTCCGCAGTTTTGGGGCGGGAAACCTCATCCCGGGGCTAGAGAGCTGGTCCCTAAAATCGTCCGGGGCTGCCCTTCAAACCTCGTTCCCCGTAGAATTCTTTTCCTGATCTTCCAAAGGCGCATCGCCACGTTTTCCTGGCTTCCCGAAAGGACGGCTCCAGGGGTCTGTCTGAAGACAGCTCCATTTTAGGTTTGGCCTGTTGCGGGGCGGGGGAGGGAATGGGGGTGGGAGAGGTGGGGGGCGGTGGTGGTCAGTCCCGGGGGGGAGGTGTGTGCTAGTTCCCTCTCCCCCTTGACTTCACTTCTCTTAGGTAGGGGAAACTGTGATCTGTCACAGATAAGGGACCAAATTATAAATTGTATACATCTGGAAAGGCAGTAAAAGTAGTAGTTGTGCCAGGTGTTGCCTTCAAAATAGTCAAGGCAGGGGTTTCTTTTGTTTGGTGTTCTTGGGGACGAAAGGACAAATTTAAACGCCCCTTGTTAGTGAGAAATCACCCGCCTTCTTTGGAAGGGTTTGACTTATAAAGAGGGGGTGGTGATGTGATGAATAAGGGAAAGGTGACTAGGGAGAGAAGGGAGAGGAAGTTGCTGGGGCGGGAGGTGGAGGGAAAGGGCGGATCCGCTGGCCTGGGGGTCTTGGCGACCCTTGGAGGCGGGCTGCGCGGGAAGGCGCGCGGCTGCGAAGGCGAAGCGAGCGCCAGGGCTGCAGACCCCAGCCTTATTTGCCTGGAGGAGAGCGCGGGTGGAGTCTCTCGCCGCAGTGCCACGGCCCCTCCTCCTAGTTTTAAGAAGAACCGAAGCATTGTTTCTGCCGTAATAGAAGTCACTCATTGCTTATAGTTGACGACAACGACGGTGGCTCTGGCACCTCTTTGGGCTCCTTGCATTGTACTCATGGAGTTAAAAGGAAAAGAAGAGAAAAGAAAACGGTCAATGAAATGTGTACTTCGTTTTTTAAACGGAGAAATTTTAGATTGTGATGACCAACGGGCATGTGATAGGTTAATTCCTTAATTTTTCTCCCCAGTGCGTTGATGATTCTTTGTAGCTACCGGAACGCATTTTTAAAACATTTTGAAAGAACTATGATAAATCAAGCCACTAAACATTTGGCTTTCACAAATATAAAACATGCGTTTTGAGTCAAGCACAGGTCTTTCTGGCACTAAAAACAAGTAGGAAATGAGAAAAAAATTAAAACCAGAAGACTTCAGGAAGGTGACAAATTGGAAAGCATTCTAGGAGATTCATAGGACTATTTTATGTGAAAGAAGCACTCTAAGAGCTTAAAGAGATTATGGCCAGTTTTATTAGAAGGATCTTAGGCTCAAAAGATTGGGGGTGAGGTAGGCAGAAAAGACGAATCTGTTTAAATGACAGTACCACATACCCAAAATAGTGGTATTTTCTGTGTCTGTGTCTCCTTGCTTCACTTCTCTCCCGTCCCAGTTTCCCCCCCTCCTCCTCTTTTATACTTTCCTCTTCCCTTCTCTCCCTCTTTCTTTTCTGCCCACCTCCCTCCCCCAGGTATGTAAATGTATTTGACTTAAACTCTTTGTGAATGAATGTTAGAGGATTTCTCCAAGTTCCCAGTTGGAAAAAGCCTTCTACACAACTTGAAAGGCTGATGTCCCTCTCAGGAAATGAATGAGTCGATAACCTCTGACACCAGTGACCAGTCCAGTGAACCCTACCTTAATTCCACTAATACTGGAGGCCCCCAATCAGGCAAGACTGAATCTCATAACCATACCATTCAATGTACTTCAGTTATGGTATTTCACACCTTTAATATATATATTTATATATTTATAGGTTTGAATTACATCAAGTTTAACCATACACAAAAAAATCAGAATCTTTCTACGTGTTGTTTTTTATTTTGTGATTACACTATTTTCTAATTAAAAATAAACTTAACAGATCAATATTGTTTACCATAAATGTGTGTGAGTGACAAAACCAAACTATACTGTTCTGTGAATTTTGTGATTACTTTCATATAAATAATAACACTTCCCTTCAATTTACATGAGTTCTTTTCAGATTATTTTCCTCTGTTACCAGATGTTGATTTTTAAAAGTAATTCTTTCGTTCAAAATATAATAAAACAGAACTTATTTTAAATTTTTTCTATTTCATGTTATGTGAAATGTTTCCTCTGAAATGCCATCATTAAAGTTACTTCATTATAGGTCAGTGCAATCAGTTGATTTCTACTATCAAAATAATGCCTAAAAATGTTTTGTTAGCAAATAATTTTTTTGAGAGCTTGGAGCTTTTGTTACTCTTGCAAAATCATTTGGATTTTTACACTTTTGCTTTCTTCCCCACCAACTGGAACATGGTTATTCTATCCAAAGTAAATAAAATGAGAAAATGAGAAAGCTTTGCCTCCTTTCCTGAGAAACAACAAAAGAAATAAACACGAAAAACCTTTCCAAATTGATCAATCTTGATTGATGCCTTTTGCCACAAACAGCTGAAAACATATTTACACATACCCATTTATTTGTTCTGTACTAATTAGTAAGAATTTATATTAGTTGTTTAATATGGGGACGGCGTGTAAATAGGTGCATTCTGTGAGTTTTCAAAGCTTTTAGGTTCAGAATCCCCCACATTTTAGTTTGTGTGAAACAGTATTAGAGTTAGAGGAGTGTGGGCATGTTTGGAGATCCGGGGAGGGGGGGGATTGCGGGTAAGGTGGGGGAGGGTCAACTCGGGTAGCTTTGCCGAAGGGAAGTGGTATCTGTACAGTTTCTCCGTAAACTGCTTGTTTAAGAAAATGGGGGGTGGGGTGGGGTGGGGGAAAGAGTGGTGGTACGTTGTAATGTTTCAAAGACGGGTTACATTTTGTATTTTAAAGGAAGTAAGGCGTTGCTAGTAATATTTACCGTAGTATTCGATGAGGGCGGTAATATTGGCGTCAGCATCTAGTAATCAACAATCGTTTGAATCAATTTGAAAGGTAAAGGGTAAGCATTTTGAAACTGGGGCAGGGCCAGAGCGGGGATGGTAGGAGCCTAATCCGTTATTACATTTTCGTTTATTCGACTCTTCTATCCATTGGTAGTGGACTTTTTAAATGTCAGGGTCTAATCAATATAATATGAATTTACCTTTTTTACCCCACTTGTCCTCTTTCTTCTCCCCTCCCCCCGCCCGTGCCCGCTTTTTTTTGCCCCCCCCCCCCTTCTCTGGCTCTGCCGCCGCCTGTGCTGGCGGCTCCTCTTCACCTCCCCTGCCTGGCGCTCCCCTCCCCCTCCCTGCCCTACGTCGTCTTGCTCTTGGGGAACAATCGCCACTGATTGAGGTTCACTCTATGTTAGGCTGGAAAACTGGGCTGTTATTTAGGAAGTCATTAATCACATCTCCTCCCCCGGAAAGAGATGGCGGAGAAACCTGTGAAGTACAATTCCCCCTTCAAAATGTTCCGAAATGATAAAACTAAACATAATTTGAGTACGTGAAAGTGCTAGCGATTTTTCCAGTAGGGTATTATTTTAAATCTGAAAAAAATTCGGGGCACGATCATGTAAATGTGTGCTTTTGTCTGATTGTAGGTGTATGTTACTATTATCTAAAGTTTCATGGAGATATAATTAGGTTTAATTAGATCCTTTGGAAATTATACATTTTCCTCTAAGAATTGAATTAAATACGAATTTTTTTTTTCCCCCGAGCAGGTTTACTACTATGGAGCAGCTGACTTCTTAGGGGGGGAAAAAGCGTAACATTGGTTGCTTTATTTAAACGGCTTTTTCCCCCTAAATGAGATTATTTAGACAGGCTTGTGTGTAAGGCACGCGTGTGCACATATATGACTGTGCCGTTTTTCTAAATTGACGATTCACAAGGACCCTCCATTGTGTCTAAGTTAAAGCACGAAATCAGCATTCTGATTTATCGCAAAGAAGCGTCCCAAATTGTCTTTAAGATAACATGTTTGAGTTTTTCATGTTCATTCATAAATTATTTTGATGTCAGCATAGATGAAATGGCGATTGGTTATCTCTTCCTCTTGCCAGCCCCTTAAGGATCCGAGGTGAAATTAGTAGCAAGAAAGCATGTAATTGACAAAGTCACGTGGCTCAGGGGGCCAGAAACTGGAGAGAGAAGAGGAAAAAAAAATCAAAAGAGGGAAAGCACATTAGACCATGCGAGCTAAATTTGTGATCGCACAAAATCAAGATGTTAGATTGATGCAGAAGATCACTCCGTTCCAAAGGGAAAGTTTTCATCTCACGAGTTTGGAGCAGAGGGCCCGAGGGGCAACATGGCCGAAGGTTAATTTTCTTTTCTATTGTTTTACTGTGATTTTCTCTCTTCCTTTCTCTCCCCCCTCCCTCTCCCACCCTTCTTTGCCCGTCCCCCCTTCCCCTTTTACCCCAATACTGGGCATTACCCCCACTCCCTATCGCGCAGTGGGGCTTTCTGCAACCTATTGTTATAGATCTCCAAAAATGTTTTGTACCGCCCACACTGATTCACAACTTGAAAAGCTTTCAGGGGGCTATTGTTTGAATTGTTTGAGTGTGATTAAGTGCAGTTTCAGTTAGTGAGCCCGAGAAAACTTTTATACACCTGCCCCCTCCCCCACTCCACCCCAACTTTAATTGAAAGTTATTGGGGGGAGGGGAATGCACATTGAAAATAACCCTGGATTCACTGCCGCTGCATGTGTATTAACTAGCTCTAACCATCTTCACGATTTCTCTTCCCTCCTCGTGCCCGCCTGAGAGAATAGTTACGCTGGAAATTTCTTTTTGTAAATGGGATCAGTGTTAAATCAGCAATGTGCAAGTAAAGTATTGCATGTTGTACTCTAGTATATGGCCGAAAAAAAAATGGAGTTAAATGAAAAAGTACACGTATGTACAGAAAAGTGGAAGTTGATGTGATCGATAGAATAGTGTGGCTCCCTCCTCCCCCGCTTCCCCTTTTAACCCTTTCATTTTAAATATTTTCTGTAGAAGAAAAGAATCCACCATTTATTGGAGTTTCTTTCTGTTTCCTTCCCCCACCCCCCACCCCAAGCAGTTTTCTTCTCTTTCAATGAACAGTTTGGGAATACAGACTAACTGACTTTTTTTGTCCTGTTCTACTCAGGCGGGGCAGGCAAAGGTGGTGGAGAAGGGCCCGGAAAGCTGCCCGAGCCGGCAGAGGAGGAATCCCAAGTTTTGCACGGAACTGGCCACTGTAAGTGGTTCAATGTGCGAATGGGATTTGGATTCATCTCCATGATAAACCGAGAGGGAAGCCCCTTGGATATTCCAGTCGATGTGTTTGTGCACCAAGTAAGCCACACTTTTTCCCCCCTCTTCTTTTACCATGTGCAGAATTTAGTGAATAGTTTTGTCACTGGACATACACTGTAAGACAAAATTTTCCTTACGTTCAGGAGTTAATCCTGTATGGGTATGGTCCCCTTACTGGGTTCTTTTCCTAAACAGAAAATGAAATCTTTGAAATTTCACTGCTTGGCTGCTGGTTGACTTTATTAGCCAAGTTCTCCTCTTCATTCGACAGCGAAATTGCTATAGTGTAGCTTCCGGTGTTATTGGTTACAATATACTTTGTTGCCTATGCCTAGTGAATGAATGGGGAAATGAATGAAGAAACAGGGATCATTTAAGTTACAAAACAAGAACAACAACAACAAACGTTTGCTATTGTTGGACACCCTTTAGACACCTTAGTCACACCGGCTTCTTCTGTTCTTATATTTCTGTCATCTGGTAGTTGTTTTTAGATTTAAATAAAAATAATTTGATTTCAAAGTAAAATAAGATAGACGACTATTGGTCTACCATGGATTTGATGAAATGCCCAAGAATAGGTTGTTTGTTAGCCGAACATTTTAGAAATGTGCTCCCTTTTAGGGCATAAGTCCAAGGATACTGTCTCTTTAAGAAACTGAACTCAAAAAAACATGTGGCCAGCTGTGGCTCTAGTTTGTGTGTCTAAAACGTGCTAGTCTGCCACTTTGAGTAAATTTCCACCATTGTTTATATTGTGTTGTAATTTTTTAAGATGCTTAAATACCCAACAGAATGTCATTGCTTACCATTTTTAAAATTTTACCCAGAAGCAAGTAAATTAATACCTCTTCCATTTTTACTTCACTCTATTGCTTAATTTCGTCGTAGTAAAAAAAAAAATATATGGTTTGCAGGTTTGATTATCACATTAAAAGAAGTTAATTCTCTGTAATGAATTCTTGGGAGTAAAAGGATTTAAAACCCAAGAGGTTTGTTTTGGCTTGACATTTAAGTTTTAAAAACTGAATGAATGGCTATCAATAGTACTGTTGACTGACAGATACATGCAGAAAAGACTTAGTATTCTTGCATGAAAATTCTATATTTTATTTGATATTGTGTTGCACCTTCTTGGTAATATTTACAAACTCCTTTACCCCCAAGGAATATCATTTTGAAATTAAGTATATAAACAATAGACACATATGAAACCATTCTGTTTTGATTTGTTGTCCTATAGTGGTTGGTAGCTTCCTGACCTTGCTGTGTGGTGTATGTTTTCCTTTCCTAAAGGCCTGGCCATCATTATTGGCTGTTTACATGTGGAAGGATCAGCATAATCTGTGAATTGAAACAAGGTTTAAATACTTAAATAGAAGTCTATAGACAGGCTACTGGATTTTATGCCTCCTACTTTATATTGTAAAATGAACCTACATTTTCAGCTTTTTTTCCTCCCTAGACTGAATGACTTAAAAACATTGACAAATTCATTTTCTCTCAGGCTCTGGCTTTCCCCACTTTGAACCTTCTTTAGGTTGTTAAATTGTTCTTTACGATCTCATAAATTTGTTTTATAGATGAATAAAAAAAATAACCCTTTTCTTTTTTGATCACACCTTGTTATAATTTAGTTTTCTATGTTTTCCTTTTAATACTTTAAAATATTAGACAATTTATTAACCAATATTAATGTTTAGAACCACAAGACATCCAAATTTACAATATTTAATGATTATATGTTGGTAAACATATGTATATCCACTGAATTATAAAATACCATATTGCTGGAAAAGTTTTATTTATAGATAGTAAACAGTTTTTAGAGTACAAATACAGATCATTAATATTAAATTGCTTTAATCCTCTGTAACAAGTCACACATTTACTTAAAAAAATATTAAGATGGTGAGATAAAATTTCTGAAAATATATATTGTATTCTTTAGAAGAATGTAGATACATTCTTGGGAAGAAGTATGTAAAAGCGTTGATAAAACTTAAGTATCAGCAGTTTTGTGATGTAAAGAAAGGGCAGTGATACTCCTTAAATTTGAAATTAGAAAGTGATACTTTAGGGAATTTTTTTGATGGCTACAGTATTCGTTTTTTGAAATAAGTCTCACTTTTTTCCTAGGGAAAATTAACTTTATGGCTTTATTTTTTCCTTCTTGATTTTGATGCATTGGTAGCAGTTTCTGTCTTATATTGGGACTTACGCAAATTGTATATAAATCATATTGAATAATTGTTTTGAACAAGGCAGGAATCCTATAGCTTTTAGCCAACCAATTGCAAATAACAGTTGGATGGTCATAAATGATCTGTGCAGGTATCTTGTAAGCATCATTTACACCATCAGGTTGCAATTCAGGACCATTTTACAAAAGTTTTTAAAATACTTTTTATTCTTTTATTGCCATTTTTACTGTATGAGAATTTTTGAAAGCATGCTACTTTCATGTATAAAACAAATTAGTTTTTTTCCTAATATGTCAATGTTAATATGTCAATGTACTATTTTATTATGAAAGAATAAGCATTGTAGATAATTAGGAACTTTAAATGTTCAACTGGACAACGTCATTATTTTAAATACATGCAGTAGGTTTTTTTTTTGAGTATTCAAAAGTACACGTATCATTGGATTTTAAGTATTATGAAACATTTTAAATAATATGTATTTGGGGAAATAAAAAATAATTTTAGTTTAACATAATATTTAAAAATTCATGCCAAGGCTCCCAAGATATTTTGTCTTGAAAAGATCTTAACTACATACATTTCAATAATAAATAAATATATAAAGTACATATATACTTTATAAATATATAAAGTACAGTTAAATAGGAATAGCACAAAAATCCTGACTACAAAGAACTGCATATCAAAAACAGTTCAGTTGCTATGAAATGAAAAGAAGGTATGCATGTGTATTATTCAGTTGCTGTGAAATGAAGAGAAGATATGCATGTGTATTTTTAAAATAGAGCTGTACATTCATAGTTACATAATTTTATTTAAAATATGTTGGCAAGAATACAGTCAAACTTTCTTTTAGTCTCTGTAATGTCACCAACTTCTCAAAAATAAACATGTGACTTAGGTAATGTACCTTTCCTGTCCTTAATTGTTGATAAATGTAGTGAGACTCTCCTCACAATCTGAAGATGGTGTGTGACTATTGGTGGTTTAAAGTGACAGTCTTCATTTGACTTCCTAATATTAACGTGTCATTTAAATGATCATATGATTATACATTGGTAATAATTTTATGTATTCTGACACATTAATATGGAAACTTGGTAGTGTTTAATATTTTTAAAAACATACAGGAATGTATAAATATCATATTTGTGAATTTTGTTATAGCTTATTGAGTTGTTCCTTAAAATATTTAATATTTAAAATTGGAAAATTATGCTGATTATTTTATTTCTAATTATAATATATTTGTAGGAATTTCTTACTTTAGGATCCAGTGCAAAACACTGAGATTTATCTCTCAATCGAAGTAAGACTATGCATACATGGTTAATACAGATTTGTAAGTATAGGTTACTACTAAGGAGATTCCATTAATGTACAGTTTTTGTGTAAGTGTTAATAATTAATAACTTCTATTAGTTTATTATTAACAGTTAAAAAATTGCATCCACGGTTAGATTATGGGATACCATGTTTAAATTACTTGGAAAGTTCTCTTGTAACTTTTTGAAATGTTACAAATTTTGATAGGACTTAAATATTTGATAATATTTTAGCTGAGTCACATGGTAATTAAAATTAGATCCTTTTGGAGAGGGAAAATGTTACCCAATAACTACTTGTTGATGTTTATTATCATTTAGGTTTTCCTTACGTAAGTGTTGATATTTATTTCCAAATAAATATTATCTCAATGAGATAAACTATTTTGTTCAGTGGAGGAATAGAATGCATTCTCCTACTTCCTTCTCTTCAGCTCACTTGCATAATAATATTTTCTTTGTATGTTAGGTTATATATTTGGAATTCTATGCCATCAATTATGGTATAAAGATTTTGAACATAAATATATTTGATTTATTTCACTACTTATGTAAGAATTTCTTCCCAAAGAGAGTAATTTCAAAATGACTGTAATTTAGCTACCATTACCTGATACGCTTAAATACTTATTAATAATTTGGTTTGAATTCTTAATTTACCTTTCAAGTATTGATGTTTTCATTTTATGCTCTTTATTTCTGGTTTATAGTTTGAACTTAATGGAAAACACAAGTGTCCATATTACGGCAGTTTTATATATTTTATGCTCCTTTTGTTAAATTGCTCAGAAAACAACTCAAAGTAATGGAAACAGAAGAAATAAGAATAATTGCTATAACAGATAAAGTTAAAGCATTTTTATTAGTAGATTAGGATATGAAAATATTTGGAGATGAATAGTTTTTAAATATATGAACATTTGAAATATTATACGCAATTCAATTGATGTAGCATTAGAGTTCATATCTCAGTGATTAATTAATTATACAGTTTATGAAAACAGATTTACTCCAGTTTGTTCATGTTCAAGGATTTTTTGTAGTATTTCATCACCCACTTATTAACCATCTTTATTTTTATCATAATGGCATGGAAACATTTTTCACATGCAGAATAGATGTGATTATTATTATTGGACTCTTGAAAATGTCAGTTTCAAAAATTGTTTAGACAGAAATATCTTGGAAATTAAAAAATATATGATCATATTACAGTTACAGCTTGTTAGTGAGTTATATAATTTCATATTTTGATTTTTTTTAATGTTTTATTTCTGAGAGATGGAGAGAGAGAGAGACAGTGGGAGCAGGGATAGGTCAGAATCTGAAACAGGCTCCAGGCTCTGAGCTAGCTGTCAGCACAGAGCCTGACTTGGAGCTCAAACCCACCAACCGTGAGATCATGATCTGAGCCGAAGTTGGACGCTTAACCGACTGAGCCACCCAGGCGCCCCTATAATTTCATATTTTGAAAATGGTTCCTAATGCTACCAGGTTTTCAAGATGA